GACTGTGAAGGCTCTCCGTTGGGCTCGCAGGTGTACAGTCGATCAACGTGGTTTGAGGGCAAGTGGGCTATCATGTACGCATGGAATTTCCCTAAAGACATGCATGATATATCGTCTATTGGCCTTGTCAAGAAGGGTGTTCGTCACGAATGGGTGAACCTGGTCGTGTGGCTTGACAATCCAACTCTAGCTAAGGCGAACATATTAGCAACCTCCGCGTCGGCTTACTATGGTACAGTATTAATTTCATGCGGCATTGATAAAAGGGTATGCGATCAGTAGGCCACCTAAGAGATCGGACATCATCAATGGCACCACGCCGAAGGTGCGGTATGATAAGGGCGATCGGGATCGAGGACACACCATTTTTCAATTCCACGAGAAAGATGGATATCAGGACCTCATCCAGTGGACCCAACTGACACACGCGGCTCGCGAAGCCTTGGAAAACACCGACTTCGGAGATGTGCCTATCAGTGATGCGTACTTTGAAACAAACCTCAAGAGTGCGTCGACTTACTACGAGTGTAGACGTCGTCGATACGGCGGCACCACAAGTCGCTCGATTTGGGAATAGCAACCTGCGGCGCTGATTTTACACACTTAAGTAATCATTAAGGATAACGTGAAAATCTGTTTAGTGCATGGTTTGAATGTGTTCGGTGCAGGGCTAATAGTAGCCAAATATCAAACTATATTTTAAAAGGTAATAGTACTATTACGAAACTAAATATCAATAGAAACTTATTTTCTCAAAAGCTAGCATAATATTTTAAAATTAGCTTGGAGATTTGAAAAATATTAGGGTTTCTCAATTTATATTTCCCCCTTCAGTACGTTTCTAACTACCTTACCCTCTGCTGAGTAAACCGAGGTCTTACAAAAGAACTCTTTCGGTCAGGTTCTAGAACAGCAGTAGGTTTTAAGACTGACGAGTATTTGCTTTAGTATTTCACCGATGGAGATGGAAAACTGCAAACGCTTGCAGTTGTTTAAGAGTCGATAGAGCAAAATCAAGGTATTTGTTCTTGTTCTCTACTCACAGCCTCGTCCACATCGTGCGTCTAATAAACCTGCAGCATGTAACACTACTCAGGAGTGCCAACACTCGACGCCAACCTTGCCGTCACTCTCACAATTGTCCTGGCTTCACGGTTGATTAGTAGTACTTCAGCTAGTCGAAAGCTAGCGACATCTGGCTGGTGAATTTAAACAGATTACGCAATCTTTGAAAAAAAGTAACATCGTATTAGCTAATATTAAGTTAATAGAGACCTTGTGCAGCTGTCTCAAAACAGTGAATATGTACAGTGAGATGATATCCGATTAGACAGGGAACATTTGTGACTAAAGCCTTGTGCAGCAGTAACATTTTAAAAGGAGAAAAGCAATGGACAGTGACAGCTCCAGCTCTGACGAGGACGAAGTGGTGATTGCTGTGCTATTGGCGCGCGAAAAAAGCGCTTGAGCATCTTATCGCTTCAACTTTAACCTGCCAGCACATGACGTCACTTGGAAAAGAAAATTTCGTTTCGAGAAAGATGACATTTTGCGCCTTGTAGACCATTTCAAGCTACCAGACCCATTTCCGACTCGCCAACGCTATCTCGTGTCAGCACTCGAGGCTTTATGCATATTTCTCCGGCGTATGGCATACCCAGCACGCTTAGATGATCTAAAGGACCTGTTCGGGCGGGACGAGGCAGCAATTTCTTCAATTTCTAATGCTGTTCTAGATTATCTCTACGACAAGTATCACAAGTTACTAAGCTTTGACCAAGTCCGGCTTTGCAGTGACACACTCGACACGTACGCAAGAGCTATCCATCTAAAGGGCGCACCACTACGAACGTGTGTCGGATTTATTGACGGTACAGTACGCGGTACTTGTCGTTCAGTACGGCACCAGAAGTACATGTTCAATGGGCACAAGGTAACCTACGGAATTGTGAGGCTCTAAATAATCGTTTTTGACAAGTTACTTGTTGTGTCTGTTGCAGAGAAAGCATGCGCTGAAATATCAGTCCGTGATTGCTTTCGACGGTATTTTAATTCACCTAAGTGGTCCCTTTCCGGGAACACGTCACGATGCCTATATTCTGCAGCAAAGTGGGCTTCTTGAGGCAGCGTCTCCATGCCTTGGTGCTGATGGTCATCATTACGTATTCTATGGAGACCCTGCCTATGGCCAGCAACGACATATTGTTGCTCCATTTAAGGGAGCCAAGCTAACAGAAGACGAGCAACTATTCAACAAGCGAATGAGCAAAGTACGCGTTAGTGTGGAGTGGGGATTTGGAAAAATTGTTCGCTATTGTGCGTTTGTAGATTTCTCGAAAAACCAAAAGGTGTTTCTACAGCGCCTTGGCAAGATGTACGTGATGGGCGCGTTTCTAACAAACTTACACACGTGCATATACAGTAGTCAAATGTCTGCCTTCTTTGATTTGAAACCACCAACACTGGCAGAATATCTAAACAATGCATTGGCGGCTTTATTGATTCATCTTCTCTATCAACTTGGACATGAGTCCCATCTGGCTAGCCATCATTCCCATCAATTTGTCTAACTTGTCTCGGTCCTGATGCAGACGCTGCTCTTCTAGCGCAAGCCGGCGCTCTTGCAGGTCAAGCTGTCGTTCTTTTTGCTTCTCTCGAGAGATCCGTGCTTCTGCCTTGGTGTCGAGAAACTCGACAAGAGCCTCCGTGCTTGACTTTTTCTTCTTTTTGTTCGGCGGTGGGGTCGATAGCTCATTTTCAGAGCTTTCTGAACGGGACCGTCGTAAGCCCTCCATTGCGCTCTGAACTACTTCTGCCGAAGCCGACTCACGACGTTCAGTCTCTCTTTTCTCCTTTTCTGTCTTGTCAGCCGTGACTTGTGCGTGCTCATTATACTGTAGATAAAAAGCATAAGCAAAACTTATGTCACTAGTATCAATTAAAACTTACCAGAGTCATGCAGTCTGTCAGTAGTTGCTCACGCTCCTCGTAGTCTTCGGCAGAACCCGACGCTCTCAACGACTCGAGCACGTCGCGGCGAAATACCTCCAGGAGCGTATTGAAGCGGCGACGGCAAGCCTTGCCGTCGGCGGTACACGATGTGAGCGCTGCCTTGAGTCCTGTGGCGACGCTTGACCACGCGGACAGCGTCTCACCATGACTAGCCGCCCAGGGTATGTGCTTGAGGGTTTCTTTGAGCAGCATGATGTCACTCGATGGTACGAAACGAAAGGCCTTCTTGCGCTTACTAATGCTGGGACTTCTGACTGGGTTGGGGGGCTCTTCAGTGTTGCAGTCTGCATTAGCCATGTCAGCGCTAAGTAGCCTTGGCCACTCGGTTCTTTGTAATCTGTGGTCACCGTGAGCAGTAAGCTAACGTACATTTCTCTCAGCAAAAAACACAATGACTAGCCTGCCCTATCCCCATTTGCCTTCAGTGTACATTTTCACTGTTTTGAGACAGCTGCACAAGGTCTCTAATACTAAATAATATCATTTTTTTCTCAGAAGAAAAAATTAGGTGATATTGTTTATATTTACTGGTCGACAGGTGATATTTTCACAATATTAATTTCACCGATTTTGAAGCTACCATTAACCATTGATTATGTGGTGCTGAACAAAAACTAAACAGAATACATTAATTAAATATTAGAATGAAGGCCTACATGTATCAATTTCAAACGAAATTATTTTAAGATAACCACTGATGTCACAGATATATTTACGCTTTTGGTGAAATGCACGAGGGATCATTTTAGAACAGGGCTTGCATAGATGCAATAAGACTTCGTGACGTAGCCTCATTCATCACAAGTACTCCAGGAGTTTGAGCAGTCACTTTCAAATAATGCTGCTGTGGGTGAAAATATAAATGCATATGTAAGTAATTTCAACCAATCATACTGCGACTAAATTGTATATTACTATTTCATTGGCCAGCTTTGTACATAGTGCCCTAAACTGATACCGTGCACTCAGCTAATCTTTATTCTTTATTTCCGTATCTACCAATAATACAGCGAGTACGGTCTTGTCGCAGTTTTTACTGAGCCCAAAATGTGAAGCTTCAACCCTTGGGCTCACATTGACACAGCAACTGTCCAAAAGCTGCTCGCAAAAGTGAACCTGTCAATGGTTCCTGCTGAAAAGTCGCGGTTCTTGATCTTTCGCATTTTTAACGCCGAACCTAAAATTTCTAAGAACCCAGCTCCTGATTCTTAGGGGTTCTGGGTAATTAATTATCAGAACCTTGGTTCTGGTTCGGTTCTGTTTAGGCATGCCCACGTGAACCTAATATATCGGTAATACTGGTTCATACGTCTGAAACCAAAAACTGAACTAAAGGCGGTCATTGGTTCCTAACCCGTAAGTTGATTGCGTACTGCATTGGTCACAGGGCTCAGTGAGTGCATTGTCCAAATAAAGGTCGTTATTTTACGCGCTGAAAGCGCCTGAAAGTGTTGCCTGTGGTGACGATTGGATCTCAGCAACAATACCTCAGCAGTTCATTGCAAGACCGGTCCCACGATGCCCCTCTGTCTTGTCCAGACAAATACACGCGCACTCGAATCTTAAGCGAAGACTATGCATCATCTGCCGGTGGGGAGGATGCCCTACGGAGTTGACCGACTACTTTATTTGCACGGCGATTACTTGCGTAGTGTCGTTTACGATGCAGAAGCCAAGCTGGGGTGTTCCCTGAACACCAATGTGCCTTGCTGGCAAAAGTTCCGCGGCTTTTACTTGACCAACTAGCTGATTACTTTATAGGGCAACGTGCGCTGGGGCTCCCGGCTGACTGCACTTCGAAACACACCTATCGATAGCAGCTCAAGGAGGTCAGCGGCATTACAGATTCAAATGGCGGCTTAGAGTGGGAAGGGAGTCGATGCTATCCGTGGCGGCAGCGACGCCGAGTTGTGGCTAGGCGAGTGCTGCGTTTGGTGTGGGAATATACAGCGTATGACCGACGAGTATGTATGCTTATTTGTATCATTATGTACGTCCAGGAAGCAATACGAGTGGCGGAGAACGTGTCCACACCGCCCAAGATGAACAACGTAACGCTGGCGGTGGCCCTGGACGAGCCCAATGTGGTGAAGCAGCATGAAGCTTCGCTAACCATGAACGGAAACGTCAGTGTAGTGCGCCAGTAAGCTGACACATACGATATTTGGTAAACAGACAACGTTTAGGTACGTTTGCGTATGAAAATATTGAGATGTCGCCTTCCAGCGACAGGAAAGCTTGAGCGTGCTTACAACCCCCCCCCCCCTTATTTATTGCTTGCTCGTGCAGCGATGTATTGGCCAATTCGTGCAGCTTAAAGCAGCGACAAGTTCCCTTGACATATTACCCATCTCTCGTGAAATTATCATTTTTGCCGACTCCTCGAACAGGAAGGTGTTGCAAAATATTAGCGTAGCACCGCACATTGGCACACTTACAGGACAGTGCGGCTTCCTGGCCATCCCCAATAATCCTGCTTAGTTTTGCCAGAACTGGATACGGCTTCGAAAACATTCGCGTTCGTTTTTTTGCCGAGTACAAACAAGTCGACTCTCACCTCAATCACGTTTGCACGATCTAGTAGTGGTTCTTAGCGCAACTTGAGCTACCATCTCATCCCCAATATCGATGCATTCATCTCGTCCCTTCATTAGCCCCACAGCGTATATTAGATCTGCGATGCCTGCCGGCAGTTATTCACTAACATTTTCATGCATTTAAGTCAGCGTGCTGGGGCACGGCAGCCATACTCACGTCACCGAACAAAGCCTTAATCGTTTCCTTGCAGTCAGGTAGTTCATGTAGTTTCGCTCTCGTCGTGTCTTGCCGGTAACGCAGTCTTAGTGATAGCTACGCCTCTAAGCTGTCGTACACCAGTCGGAAGGGCTGGAGATCGTCGACGTTGTACGAAACAAAGGTCAGCTACTATGTCGCTTGGTGTCCCCGATGGAGGCGCGTCTAGAGCGTCGGTTGGTCTTACAGGCGAATCAGCAGTCCGACTTAGTCTCGGTAAGACCGACCGTGGCTGTAGGGGCTGCTGCCAGATTTGCCAAAGAAGCAGTGGGAAAATTAATAGGTGTCCTGCCATAGACTCGCTTAAGGCTCGCCAAGCGAAGCAGAAGCCCTCTCCGTTTTTAGCCATGCAGCGAGCGATGTAGCCATGTTGTTTGGAGACCCCCTGCTCATACTGTAGAGCAATTTGGATAAGCATATTATCCTCCCTGTTTTAGAAGCTAGTGCGTATGACGAATGTATATTATCTTTCGTTCGATGCCCGTGACAGCCACCAATGCACGTTACTTTGATTTGAGTAAACAACGAACGTTGCATACCTCGGTTCATTGTTAAGGTTTGGTCATGCAGTTACAGTAGAATAGATGGGAGGATGTTTGGACCCAGGAGAGGAGTTTTACCTCCCACATGAAGTAGTTACGAAGCTCCTAAGGACCCCTGCTCGGCAGCTCCATGAATCTCACTTCCGATTTCTCTCTCATTTCAAAAGGTTTTGAGCCCAACTTCGCAACCAGTGAACAAGAAGAAAAAAAACGCAACACTAACGTTATGTCTCGCTCAACCTGGAAACACTGTTGGAACTTTGACTCCCACACGAAGGACTTCACAGCCTGGCAGATTCGGATTCGTGCTCTACTTGAAGCCGAAGACGTGTGGGATATTGTGTGTGGAGAGTGTGTCTATAGTTCTTCATGGAGCCTCAGACGGCGGCAGGACTTCATCTCGCGAGACAAGAAGGCCTTCCAGCTTCTTATAAACTCGCTCGACGATGCTACTGTGAAGGTTATGGGCAAGTATCAGTATTCGTGGTCCGTGTATGAGCACATGCAGCGTGTGTACGCATCGAAAGGAACGGTAAGCATTTACCATGCTCGTAACAACTTTCACAACATGAAGTACAAGGACGGAGATGACATGCAGTCCCATATCAATGATCTTGAAGAAAAAGCCGAAACATTAGCCCGGCTTGGGCATCCTGTAGACGACGAAGAGAAGGTGATGCACATGCTTGGATCTTTACCTGAGTACTGGAAGAGCTCGGTGATGGTGGGCCAGAATCAAGACGGATTAAAATGGCGTGATCTACAGACAAAACTCTTCCTCGAAATGGACACTCGCAAACATACTCATATTTCAGTGGAACAACACGCACACGTCGCAAACTGTTGTCATTCAAATGAGCAACATTGCGGGTGCTGCGCTGAGCACAACATCGAATCGGCTCGCTTTGGCCAAGGCTCCGCTCAACGTCCTCCAGGACGCTTGCCATTTCGTCGTCCATCAAAACCAACTAGCAGACATCCTTACCAACGTCCCAGCAGTGACAAGCTTTGTCACTATTGTCGGAAGCCCGGACATCTGATTCGCGATTGTCGGTTGAGAGAAAAGCATGACCGTGAGCGAGGAATTACGTCTCATTTAGTCGCAGACACAGCTGCAGTGGCTACCTATGATAACGGCGAAGGTGAACCTGATGAATATGATGTTCTGGCGGTCGCTTGTGCAATGGAGAGCAAGGTGGACACAGCTCTGCAAGTGACTATATCCGAAGACCCAACCATGGCAAAAGACGCTTGGGTCCTTGGCTCGGGTTGTACGCACCACATGTGCTTCGATAAGACGTACTTTTCGAGCCTCGAGCCTCTGCAAAAGAAGGTGTATCTGGGAGATAACAACTACGTTGAGGTCCAGGGTATTGGCGCAGCCACACTACTTTTTACTGATGAAGATGGCAACAAAGTGAACTTAACCCTATCCAAATGCTTCTACCTGCCAACAATGACGCGAAACCTGCTGAGTGTACGTTGTCTTCGTGATAGAGGAATTATTTTCGACTTCAGTACTTTTCCCGACCGTGCTGTTCTCCAGAAAGGGCGTATGCGTATTAAGTCTGCAGCAAATACGTACAACAAACTATACGTCTTTAAGACCAACAGAGTTAATACACCCTCAGCTGAGTCAGCGTATATTAGTGTTGGATAAACATCACTCGAGCTGTGGCACTCTCGTTGTGGCCACTTAGGCTACCAGAACATTGCTCGCCTAGTATCAAGTGGGCGAGCTCATGGACGTCGAGTAGAAAAGCGCGACTTGCTTGAACTCCCGGTATGCGATGTGTGTGAGCGCTCGAACCAACAGCGAGCTTCGTTTAAGAGAACTTATACGCAACATGCATCAAAGGTGAATAAATTGGTGTTCACGGATATAAAGGGGCCTATTGAAGTCCCCACGTTCGCCAACAAGCGCTACGCTCTCGTATTTGTCGATGACTATACTGGCTACATCAGCACGCGCTTGCTGGCTCACAAGTCTGAAGCCTTAACCCATTTTCGAGAATATGTCACAATGGTGGCAGTAAAGCACAACATACCTCTACAACAGGTTAACTCTGACAACGGTGGTGAATTTGTGGCGCCAGATTGGATTTGATTTTGCTCCTTGAGCGGAATCGTACGTCGCGAAACAACTCCTTACACGACAGAACAGAATGGCAGCGCTGAAGTACGGTTTCGCATTCTGTTTAAAAAGGTACGCACACTTCTTTTTTTAAAGGAAAGTGATACCGGCCCGGTAGCATTGGTAGCCAACGTGGTTCAGATCTTGTTAGCGCTCACCAGCTGGAAAGTCTCTCGGTGGGAGCCGAAAGCGAGTTTCGGTGCTAGTGAGAACGTCTTCCACCAGTTATACGGGTGTACGCGGAAGACCCTCTACAGATGAAACTATCGGCTCCATTTACAAGCTTACAGCAGCATCTAGAATAAAGAGACCAGTATTTTCGTTGGATTTGATTCGATTTTTCAAACATCTCAAATTTGTGATGACACCACTATTGTTGAGGCTCAATTACTAAAACAGTTTTGGGGGGAGGCACTCCTGACAGCAACGATACTGAGCAATATTAGCCCGCTTCGACGAGCGGATACAACTCCCTACGAGCGTTGGCACGGAAAGGAGCCTGACTACAGCAATCTCCGTGTCTTTGGATCTCTTGCCTACACCTACGTGACTGAAACCCACTCGAAGCGGCTCCAGCTGACTGCAACACCTGGTTAACGGAAAACGCTTGACAACCGCAGCATTCGTGGCGTGTTTGTTCGGTATTCAGCTTGCAAAAAGGCATGGCGTGTGCTCCATTGTGGTACAGGCGTTATTGTGGAAACATGCCATGCCACGTTTGATGAATCTGGTTCAGTTGCGGCGATGGAACTAAAGCAGCTTGAGCTAAATCGACTTGAAAAGCTACATCGATTGGATTTTATTCAACCATCCCGCTTTGCTAATTCAATTCCTGATCTCGTGTTTTATGCGGAGCCCGTGATAGAACACTCAAGTGAATATGACAAAGAACTCCAGCAACTGGATGAATTTATTGATGATTTCCAGCTCAACGAATTGCGTGATGATAATGGAAACTTACCCGATGTTGGAAGCAAACCGCAAGCGCTTACCATATGTGCAGCAGATCAGCTTTCAGTGAAGCAGAACGAAGCTGAGTCTCAAGTTGCAGCAGAAAATTACGCAAGATAAATGGAAAACACTAAAGTCAACGGTATGGCTACTCGCGTAGAGCCAAAAACTCATGCAGAAGCTGTAAACGGACCTGAGGCACTACACTGGAGAAAAGCAATTGATAAAGAAGGCCGATCTCTCGTTGCGCACGGCACTTGGAAGCTTGTACCGTTGCCAAAAGGAAAACGTGCTTTATCATCCAAGTGGATATTCAAGATCAAGTACGATTCTCTGGGCAACGTGGATAGATACAAGGCTAGATTAGCTATTCGGGGATACGAGCAGGTGAAGTACATTGACTATGATGAAATATTTGCTCCAGTTATCCGGTTAGAGTCTCTGTGGATGCTGCTAGCTCTAGTCGCAATCAATGACTGGGAATGTCACCAAACGGATGTGGATACTGCTTTCCTGAACGGTGACATGACTGAGGAAGTATACATGCTACAACCGGAAGGCCTCGTGGAAGCTGGAAAAGAACATCTCGTGTGCAGACTTTTGAAGTCGTTGTATGGATTAAAGCAAGCTCCAAGAGCGTGGCACAAGAAGCTGACGGATTTCTTGAAAATCCATGGGTATGTGAAGCTAAACAGCGATTCATGTATTTACGTGCGTTCTGGATCAG